TGCAGTCTGCAATGCCCTCAGCTCTCTTTCAGACCCATCTGCCCACCATGCTGCTATTCTTTGCCTTCAAAATCATTTTCCTTCCATCCTCCCTGCCACCTTTTCCATGTCTGTCCCACAACTGCTTCTCCAGCCCTTTGCTTTCTCCCACCTCCTCCCTCCAGCACCTTTTTGCATCATTCCAAACACCCAGAACCTTCTCCTTCCTGTCCTCCCCAGTTACTGTCTTGTGTCCTGTCTCTCTTGGACTGTAAGCCTTTTTCTTTGCCTGTACTGTGTGTTAGCCACTCACTGCTTGGAATAAACAATACCTCACCTACCAACTGCCCCTTCTCTCTCTCCTTTCTTGGTGTGGCTTCACTAGGTGTGTCTGCAATTGCATCACATGTCTCTCGTCCTGGCTACTGGAGCAGTCAGTCTCACTGCCACAGCTCTACCCATAGTCTTTTGGGATGACTCTGCTCATGTTTTTGTCCTCTTGGTACCTTTGGTTTTTTTCACAGCTCCAGGGACCAGATTTGTTGTCAGTGTAGGAGTCTGACACATTCAGAGCTGCATGACCCTCTGTCCCTTGCCATTCTGATGTGTCTGATAAAGAGGTTGGACTTCCTCCAGCTTCTGGGGCTGCCAGGTGGCGCAGCAAATGCAGCAGCTGAGGAGAATGAAGGAGAAATCTTGTAGCCCAGAGCAGAAGCAGGTGATGGTAAAGGAATGGCATTCACCTGGAACACAAAACAGTGGGCAGAAGTGTGTCAGTGGAAATCCAAGCAGATGCATCTCCCAGGGGAAGCAGCAGAAGTTGGCTTAGGATGTTTCAGAAATGGATGCCCAGGAGGCTCCTTGTGGCTCAGAAGGTGCCCTGAACATCATGTGATCCATCTGCTTCCTCCATCCCCAACTAGGACTAGACCTGCCCATGGTCCCCTTCAGCCTATGAGTACAGCAGGGACCCAAGTGTCACTTAGGCCAAAGTGGCTCCTTGCTGACTCCTTGTCCTAATTTATTGTCACAAAGTGCTTGTTTGGTCCGTGCTGGCTGGAGCTGGTGGTGCACATGGAAATGGTGCTTCTTCCCAGGTGCTTAATACAAACATGGAAAGTTGCAGGAGCAGGTCAGTTCCTCTACCCTTGCAGTGACCCTCTCTGTCAGTGGTGTGACACCAGCCTGCCAGAAAGCAAAGTAAACTCCTGATCATGCTGAGTGAACTCACAGCATGGCCACGAGTCTGGTTTCATGGGCCATCTGCAGGAGTTAGGTCTGAGGACCTAACTAACCATGTTGGTGGACATGGATGGGACAGGGATCAAGCAGTGCTTGGTCCCCTGGGCTTCCTTCAGGGTCTGTTGCTGTTCCTGGGTGTGCAAGAGCAGACAAGAAATGCGTGGGGTGCTCAAATCCTCCTCAGTGAGGAGCCTGGAGATGTCATCTGGGACAGACAAGACTTGCAACTGGGTTGTGCTTGACATCTCCAGGCTGTAGGGATGTCGGTGATGATGCTGGAAAGAAGCAGTGGGAAAAAATCAATCCCTTGATGTACATAATTCCCTGCATCCTTTCCTCTGTGCCACCATGACTTGCTCCTACCTGCCTTGCTTCCGTAGTGCTGCTGCCTCCTCCTCCAAACTCTATGTTCCAGCAATCAAAAAGCTCTAGAACGGCCCAAAACAGCACTGAAAAATCTCAGTTGCAGTTTTAGGGGCTGAATAGAATTTAGGTCATGATTACTGCATGCCACTAGGGTCCCTTGCTGACCTTCACTGAAGTCTTCTAACATCTAGATTTCTGCTAGAAGAACTCTGTAAGGGCTTTTGCTGGTGGAGGTTGGTTTTCCAAAGACTGTAAATGAGACCAGCTGTTAAGTTTAAGCCAGGACACAGAAGGCTTCTGTTTTTGTTGCTGTTGTCACAGACAGCCAACTTCAGTGCACAAAGGGCAACAGAGGACCCAGAAGACAGAAGTGACTCTTAATAACCTATTTATAACATAATTGTGAATTGCATTTGCCCAGGAAGCAATAAATTTCTGTCTTCTGAGGAACATCAACCTTCCAATGTCCTCCTGGGTGAGGGCTCAAAGCAAAAGGTCAGTTCCTCCACAGAGGAGTTCTCTGGAAAGAAAGGACAGGCTTCTTACGCTTCTTTCTTTGAAATGGTCCTTCAGCAGCAAACTTCTGTGCCTGGGGCTAGTTTCTGAGCCACTGGCAGAGGATTCCTGCTACTCCTAGTGGCTGTTGAAGGCAACTTGTAATTTTGCATGTGCCTATACAGACTCGTAACAACTCCTAAGCAGTTACACTGTTTTGAATGAAGTAATTTTGCAGAAGAGAAGACATGTCATTAGCTCTTTTTGATATGAGGCCACCAAAACATCAAGATCTGAATCCATCCGACATGGATGAGCCATGAGCAGGTCCTCCACACCTGTGAAGAACAGGATAACTTTGCTGGAGGTCTCAGAGGCAAGTTTAGACCCCAAGTCCCAAGATCCCAGCTCTGTGTTGTTATAGCAGGACCAACAAAGATCAGACTGTGCTCATGGTGCTCATCCATTGGTTACTTCCAGACACCTTGTGCTGCCTCTGAGAAATGAACCCCTAATGAATTTCATACTATTTCTGCATCTCTATCTGACATAATACAAGTAGCATTCTGTCATGCCAGTTCATCTCTTTTGTATTTCTCACCTTGTTACATCACATAATGAACCCAACAGTTCACCCCCAGCAGCCACAGGAAGGAAAGATAGTCTGTAAATGTTGCTGCTTGTGTGTTAGGGCTTGTTATGTTTCAGGATTGGCCTTTCCTCTCAACCCTCCAATTTGCACCCTCCCAGCTCACTCTTCCTGAGGCTGGGACCCAGGGCCAGCCCTGCACAGAGCATCCAGGTCTGTTCCCTACTGTGCATGTTCTGTTGTCCCTGGGTACCAGTTCCTGGGGAAAATAATGTCATTATCTTCCCCTCACACTCCTTCCAGTTTAAAATAGGTTTGGAATGAGCTTTACTTGGGAAAGACAATTACACAATTGCCTGTATTCAATGCAAACAAAGAGGAAACCAGGGGATGGGGATGGGACACAGCCTCTTTGTCCTCCAGGAGGCTGAGTCTTAGCCTGAAATCCATGGCTGAAGGATGCACACAGTCATGGAAAAAGACCCAGCAGATTAAAATGAAGAACATACATCTCATGAACCAGCTTTTTTTGGCTGCTTCAACAGAGAGGGACCACCCCAGTGCTGCTGAGAAGGGGGAATTCCCCTGGTGGCTCTAAGCAGGAGCTCAGGAAAATGTTGATGGAATACAAACAGTTGATGTTGCTTCAGGAAGAGATAACTTTTTGCTTTCAGAGCTCTATTCTGAAATACAGGGCAGTGTCAAGAGCAAGGCTGGACACCAAGGAAGATGTGGGATGGCTCTGGTGTTGGCAAACCTGGATGCAACGTGGATCACCACGTGTGCACTGGCACAGGGCAACCTGAGCTCATGCCCCATAGTTCCTGTGTCCTTCCTCATTAGGTGAGGTGTGAAGATGTGCTTGGAGGGGGTGGATTGGTATCTGGAGTAGCTACTGGCAGCCTTCAACCTGCAAGTGCATGATCTCCACTGACAAGGATGTGTAGGCATCTCCAGCTTTCTCCAGAGACCAGGCACTGGGTCCTGTCCTAGCAGATGCTTGTGCATCAGCTGTATGGACCTGGTCTGTCCTGACAGTGGAGGATCTTTCCAAAGAGGAATGCTCTGCATTTGCTCCTAATCCTTTGATATACAGTGCTGGGCCCACCTCATTCCCATAGGAACTGGTAGATTGAAAGAACTCAGCAGTTTTCCTACTGACCTCTGCCAACAGCTTCTGGCAGCAAGTGTCTCCTCATGGTAAGCACAGTGGTAGGGTGTGGATGAGTATTTGAGGGAGAGCTGTCCTGCCAGGGCTCTTTACTTGGTCCTGCCCCACCAGTCTTTCATGCAGGGGTGATTAGCTTCATGTGTCTGGGTTGGGCTGGCTTCACAGACCAAGGAGATGGCAACCACCCATTGTCCTCCTAGCCATGTTGTCAGTTCCTCTT